TAATTGATTTGTTTGGCCATACAAGGCCAAGAGGAGATTAGTCCATTCATTCAAATGGTGGTTGTTGTGTTGGTTAGTAATTTTATTATAATTTCATAAAAGCATTAGGTGAGTTGAATTTTTGTGCTAATAGGAAATATAGTGAAAACAAATTATTATTTGTGGTCTGATTTAATGATTCTAATCTTGTCAAGAAAACGAAGATTCTCAAAGTAGTACAATTCTTGATCAACCAAGTGTCCCCCAAATATGCTGTTTGATTGTGACTTAGTGCACATATCTTATATTTTACATTCTCCCCTCAACTTTGCATCAAAAACAGCATATATGTATCATTCGGCACGAGGAAATGCTAATATATAAATAAATTGCTACAAAAGTTATGCTCACGTATCAGCCAATCATTTTAGTCCACGTCATCATCATTGGTGGGGTAGCCCCTAAAATTTCCCTCGTCCAACCGTCCCTCTGGACCAAAGTTGTGCTAATTTTTTTTTTTTTCATATTTTGTGCTCTCATTTTTTATTTCCCTAACATGTGCAGAAACTTTAATTTAGGTTGTAGATTTAGACATGCAGTAGTTCTTGTTTTGTAGAGTTTGCCTCTTGGGTAGGCATTTCTGTTCATGGTTACGTGTTGTCTAAAAATTTATTGCATCAAATCTGCCTGTATTATATGAAATTTGCGCGTTTTTTTTTTCTGGTATTTTAAAAATTGCATCAAACTCCTCTGTATTTAATGTTTCAACTTTCAATGCACACTCGCCATTTTAAGTTAACAGCGTGACTTTAATGCTGACGACGTTACTTTTCGCTGAAATTACCATTATACCTTTACTTTACCCTTAAATTTACCATTATATTATACTCTTATAAAAAGCACCTTCACCAACTAGGCTACTTGACATTTACTTATTAATATGACTTTGTTTATTTATATCATAACAAATAGCGGAACTAATATAATAATTAAGTATATGGATTCTAATTTATAAATAATATAATAATTAAGAATATATATATTTTAAATTAGTATATAGATTATAAATTATAAATAATATAATAATTAAATATTTAGATTATAAATAATATTATAATTAAATATGTTTTAGTTATAAATAATATAATAATTAAGTAAAAAGCTTTTAAATTACAAATAATGTAATAACTAAATACCGAGATAAAACTTATAAATAATATAATAATTCGGTATATAGATTCTGTATATAAATAATATAATGATTAAATAAACATACTCTAAATTTAAATAATATAGTGAATGAATAAATAGATTCTATATTCTAAACTATAAATGATAAAATAATTAAGAAAATAAATTAAAAATTATAAATAATATAATAATTTAGTAAATAGGTTTTATAATAATTTATAAATATATTCTAAATTATAAATAATATATTAATTGAATAAATTGTATTCTCAAGTATAATGATAATTATAAATTATAAATAATATAATAATTAAGTATATATATTCTAAATTATAAATAATATAATGATAATTATAAATTTTAAGTAATATAATAATTTGGTATATATAATTTATAATAATTGAGTAAATAGATTCTAAATTATAAATAATATAATAATTCAATAATTTAGATTCTAAATTATAAATCATATAATAATTAAGTAAAT